TTCCTCACTCCAGGATTTTATGTTAACTCGAATCTGCATACATAAATGGCAAACATTTGACAGCTGCACTCGGCATTTAAGTATAAACTTTGTTAAAAAATGGCACAACACGACGAATTTATTAACAAAAGACAACAATTCTTACTATATTTCTGGGTGTTCTATGAAAACAATGGGTTATTTTGGAAAAGATTCTTGTAACACAACCATTAAATGTTTCTATGTGACATTTCGATGTCTAGTATGTTATGTACGTAGTACTTCACTGGTCATTTGTCCGATGAAGGTGACTAAAGTACATAACCTACTAGTCATCGAAACGTCACATAGAAAATGTTATTGGTTGTGTCCTACCAACCTGAAGAAAATGTTTAGAAAAATGTTGTTGTCTTTTTCTCTGACAATTTCTTCCATTTATCTGAAAGTTCAGTCAGAGAAATAGCAAAAATCAATGTGACAAAATGTTCTATAATTTTGTGACAAATATTCTACATGGATATACAACAGTAGTTCTAAATGACCTTTGCAGTGAATTCTAGGACTGCTTCGTATACTAGTAGTCTTTACATTCTATTTTTAAAGGTGAATATGGCCCCAATCTTTAAAATAATATGCATACATTGGAAACGTGCTTAATAATTTACACAATTAAGTTTCAGTTGAAAGATCTGAAATAAATAATGTTTAACACCAAATCTACGCAGACTATTTGGAAGCAATATTTCCAAAATTACAAAATTCTGAGGAAAGGCGTTAACAGCGATACGGAAGACTTTTAACATTATTTATACTGAAAATACATTTCACAAAATTAACATCCAGTTTGTAATCTATTTATATAATATAAACATAAATGTATCGGTACAATCTAAGAGGACATTAACCTGTTTGGTTTTCACTAGACAAACGTGAAGACAGCATTAAAGCAAACCAGCATATTGAATGCAAAAACGCCTTTTTCTAAATTTTAAGGCAAAAAATATTTAGAACTCTGTTTCTTTCTTTTGGAAATGAAATACCGATCAGTTCATGAATAACAAAAATCAATATCAAAGCAGCAACAATATGACGAAGTACAGGTATAGACAAAAAATAAAGTCAATTCAAATCTATTCTGCTTCTAAATTTCTGAATTACTCGACAGAATTCACATTTTTTTGGTCACTACCCTGGTCCCATCCTCAATTAGCTTGTCATATAATTCAAAATTCAGCAAGTGACATAGACCTTGTTCCCGAGATGGTTTCTACAAATATACACACACTCTCCTAGACTTTCTCACACATACATCACATATAAAATCAAAATAACAAGTCATTGTTATTACAACACATATTCCTTTATTGGGGAGAACAGTAAACGACATAAAAAGTGGTTTAAAATCTCGGATAAAATCAGGATTCGTGTTCCTTAGCTGGCTGTTTTGATGAAGAAATCCAGTGAATGATAAAGATGAAAATGACGCACACTTTTTCCAGTTCTGTGGGATGATAATCCATAGGTCCTCCTTCCTGTATGTTAATCCAATCCTAAGTGTCAGTGTATTGAAGTCTTTTTCTTTTACAGTGATGAATTGAACCAGTAAATCCCAAAATCAAGGATTCTTTGACTTAACTATTTACACACTTATTTCACAAAACAAAGTACTTCTCTTCTTTTTTTGTACAAAAAGCTAACATTTGGATTGAAGAGGCTGAATACATCATAAGGACGTTTAACACCAACTCAAGGTCATCGCTATGGTTACATAACCTACAATAGAAAAAAGGTCAAATGTCAATTACATATACAACTCATATTTACCTTCAAATATGCTGACAATACTGACTAACTCAGCTTTCAGTTTCTGCTGGAAGAGGAAACAATTCTTAATGGTTCATTTTTGTGAGTTAAGCAAATTTTAAATATGTTTAATTAAATAGATTGATCTGTTATAAGATATTCTAATCCCTCTCTCACAGATCTTCTTAAAATATTCAGATACCATATATACGATTAAACATGCAGTGAATTTATCGATTTTTGTTGATTATTACTGTACTTACTGTTGGTGATCTTGACATTACCACGATACCTTTGTACTCCTAGTATCATTGTCTAAATACTGTCTATCTTGACAAACTACTGGAGTTTGCTTCAATTTTACAGTTGTCATTATCTAACATATGTATGCCTGTATCTGTTGTCATTTTGCAACTAAACACATATCAATTTCCAGAATATTTAGATTAATTTCTGGATATTGATAAGATCTGTTTAAATTGTAATTTGTGAGAATTTACGAGCGCACGACACTTCATGAATGTTTTCTTACATATTCTCTACGAAAAAACTATCAAATATACAAAATTGGACTGTTATCTCTCACCAACAAAACACGAGTTTGAATTTCTCTCAATCAGGGTAAAAACACTTCACCTTCTTTTCATAGAACAGGCTTTTCAATTTCTCTCTCTCCCACTCTAAATGAGCACATGACATTTTATAACCATCACACTCAAAGAAAACATGTTTAAACATTTTCTCTCGCCAAACGATTTGCATTTTATATTCTTCATAACACATTTTAGTTTAAGTTTTTTCCCTTCCTCTCTTATTGAAGTTTTATAGTTTATTTTCTCTCTCAAACAGATGATGGTGTGTTAGATATTTCTTCTCTCACTCAGACAGGTTTTGTACGAAAACAGTAATCTCAAATCTAAAATACATGGATTAAAAAGTTAACCCCACTTTCTTTTAATAGAATATGGTCTGAAACATTTTCTAACTCAAAATATTTTGTTTTAAAAGTAATCTCCCTTCCTCTGCTTAAAATGATGTTTCCGGGTCTTTCAATTTAACCTCTCTTTCTCTCCTCCAACAGAACATTCAAATCAACAAAAACAAGAAACAATCGCACCTTTCTGAACACATGCTACCTCTGACATGGACTTATGTATATACCATATCATACATCAAAGATGCACCAGAGTTCACCAAATGAAGAGTTAAGTAAAATACACATCAACAATTATTTTTGACCTTCAAACCTTTTCTGTTTCAAAATCAAAATGACAAAAAGCTACATTCATAACCTTGAAAACATATGTTTTTCATGTCAAGTTAATATTTTACTTTGAATGCTGGTTATTCTCTCTTTAAATATCGGTGCATAAGTAGACCCTAATGATTCAGGAAAACATTTACTAGGTGAAAATATCATTTTATACTTCCAGACAGACTTCTTGTCACTTTTAATATTGGTAGATTCTTTTTCTGTCTCTTTGTTTATACATGTAGTTGTCAAACTTAGGTATATTATTATAACACATTAAAAGATTTTAAACAGACTTGAACTGCAAAAGTCAAATCTCTGGAAGAAGGACAATTAAAAATGTGTCCAAAAGAGAACTTGCCTATTGTCTTTTATCACTATATTGACACCGAGTTCAAATTTGTATTTTACAAAATGATTCGCCACACAGATACCATCAGAACATGTGAAATTTGACACCAATGCATGACAATGACAATGTTTAGCAACATATTAATGAGTTTATAAATGTTATAAACTAGCTACCAGCAATAAGTGCTACATATATGAAATCATTGTTCCTTGTTCTTATCTTAACATTTACAAATACAATTTTTTCGTTTTGTTTTCAACAAATCAGTTTCACTTATTGTGCCGATAAATCCTTTCAAATTCATTTATAGCTTGATCTCAATTTGCACTACTTACAAAACACCATGACGACAATGATGTTTTTTCACATGTGTGTAATATATATGTTTATAATGTATTGATGATACATCATATATAACATGAAAATAAAGTTTTCAATAAAAATAAGTTAAGTACATGCATCACAATTGCACAGGGTAAAATTGAATGGGTGAAATACCAAACAGCATTTCTAAAGTTACCTGAAGCAACACTATTAATTAAATATTTAGGTTATGGTAAACAGCACCAGTATGGGGTATCAAGTATCGCAATTCAACGCCGTATACAACTATCACAAGTTAAATAAATACTTCTGGGGCTAATCACGGAACGGTGAGACATTCCTATATATTCAAATATCTACAAACATTTGCAATTGTCCACAATAACACTATGCAAAAAATATCAACATCCACACATTTATACTGCATAAAGTTCACACAAACTCAAACTCATAAAAAGATCATATCGCACAAACTCTTCCTAATACAGCATCAAGTTCACAGAAACTCGCATTTGTACAAGGATAAGTTTATGCAGTAACACCTGAACAGAGATACCTCCCTCAAACTCACTCTCATACAGGTATAAGTTTATGCAGTAATACCTGAACAGAGATACATTTTACCTCCCTCAAACTCACTCTCATACAGGTATAAGTTTATGCAGTAACACCTGAACAGAGATACATTTTACCTCCCTCAAACTCACTCTCATACAGGTATAAGTTTATGCAAACTCACCATTGTATAAAGTTCACAAAAACTCACACTTGTAAAGTACACACCGAATTGTATAGTGGTTAAATTTACACACGCGTTCAACAGAAAATTTACTCGCAATCACATCTTGGGGTACATATAAACACTTAACAGATTTTATGCAACATGTTTTTCACAATTTTTCAGTGTCTGATCTTTAAAATAATAAAAATTGTAATCTTGAGCCTAAGATACACAAAATATGCAAGAAGAAAATCTTATGCATCACAATCTAACACCTTACAAAAAATCTACAGCATATTTTCCCTCAACAGTTTGTTTTAATTGAAAATAATGTTCATCACTTTTATAAAAGCAAATATAGACCCTCTGACACTATTTATTGAGGATATAATTAAATAATAATAATTTGAGGTTCTTATATACCGCTTCATCACAACCTAGTTCGTAGGTCGTTTCAAAGCGGTTCACAAATTATTATCTTTCTCAACTCCCTGGGGAGCATACAGCTGGTGCTGCCATTTCGGCGCTCACAGCAAGCATTCTACAATTCTAGCACTAACTAACCACATACTCATTTACAGCTGAGTAGACTGGAACAAGCGGAGTTAAGTATCTTGCTCAAAGATACAACACAGTGCCGTGACGGGAGTCGAACGCGCAACCCTTCGGCCACGAGCCCGGCGTCCTACCACTAGACTACTGTGCATGACTGAAATACCCAGAAAAACATTTCGACTGCGTGATAAAGCTCTTATGGCAATAATTGGGATAGGGATTGCCACGGTTGAAGGGCCGTGGGTTCCTGAAGAAATAAGTAATTGAAGAAAAAGAAAAAAAAAGCTCTTATAACAAATTGTATAGGCAATTCTGAGTAAAAAGAAACTTTTGTCGCAGGAATAATGAAGATAAAAGCTATTAATATTTCTAAACAATTTGGCAGATAAATCAACCCATCAAGTGTTAAAAAGGCTTTAAACTTTTTTTAGTGAAAAATATCGGTCAATAAAGCCTTTGGGGCAAAGTTACAAATAATATCTAGTATTGATGTGAAAAATAAAATCAGTACCTAAAGAGCAAACCACAATCTTACAAAGTCTGACTGTCAATCCTATCAATCTAGTTTTACAAACACCGATCTGGAACAATGTGAGAAACAGAGCGGTCTACAAACTTCACCATCCCACTCACTCCCATTCCTCATCTACCATACTTGTGGATTACAAATGTCTGTAGATATTTTATACAACATAAATAACATGGACAAAGACATCTTCATTGGAATGCTATATATATGGAGATCTTTTAGTAATTATCACATGTAAAAATATAAACCTTATAAAAAAATAACACTATATAAAAATATATTTAGCTGCCTCTCGTATTGCAATGAAATTCAAATTCAAATAATTATTTGGCACAGAATTTATAAAACACAACTTTCTTGTCCATAAACTGAACAGATGTATTGAGCCAATTTTCTAGTAGTATAGGAAACTGCCCGAGGTAGAATCATTTTCCGAATAAAATCTGCAAAAGAAATGTAAGCATTTTAGGAAGATATGCCTAATTCACCTTTCAATAAGCCTTCATTTAAATTGGATACAAAACACCACGTAACCCAAGGAAGACAATTTTCAATTCGGGGAATATTTTCCCTTGCTGAACTACTTCTTATCTTTCAATAGGAAATTGTGAGGTATTGGTCAGATTACATACTATGCAGACACTTACCTGAGACAAGAAGGATCTCAAACTTACCTGCTCAATCACTTGAGTGTCAAACTTGTGCTTTGTTTAGACTTAAGAAACAATAGCTAACCTCACATGATGTACAAACCTCACTGTGTAGCCAACCCCATTACATATACTTCTCACAATATGTTCCACCCAATCAAAACTGAATGGCAGGCAGCGAAAAAATTGCCTTTCCCAATGATTAATAAAGTAAATCAAATGTTTTCTTGAACAACAAAAGTTGAACACATTTATAAAAGTGAAGACTTTCTTTCTGAATTATTTCTATATCCTATTGATACTGATTGTTTATTAATCTTCCAGAAGGGTAATAAAATACAGCTAGCACAGGTCTGATTTGCACATCAAAGGGTTTTTACAATGAATGCAGACTAATGGTGACTTGGAGTATTTCGTGTACAAGATGATTACCTTGTAGGCCTGTAATCAGTGTCGACGACTGCTGCTGTACTCTCTCTCACGATCCCGCTCCCTGTCACGTTCGCGGTCCCGCTCTCCTCTGTGCGAGGACCGTGACTCCTCGTAGTGACCACGTTCACGATCCCTACTCCTCTCACGATACTCCCTTTCCCTACTACGTGTTCGATGGCGACTTCTCTTTTCACGGTCACGTGTATCACGTTCTCGGTCCCTTGAACGTGACCTTCTAGTTGTACTCCTGGAAAACAGATATTTCTTGTTATACTTCACATAAATCTATGCAAAAACAAATATCACGTTACAAAAATAATCTGTTGTACATTCTTGGTTAGTAAGTACAAGATTTCAAAACAAGCACGATAAATCCTGAAAGGTTTGCAAAAGAAAATATCTACCAATGATCCTTCAACTAACACTTACTTGGAACCATACGACTTCTCCTCAATCCCGTGAAGTGTGTCCTGAAGGGAGCTGATGAGGATCTTACATCGGTCGTCACTGGCAATCTTTGATTGCTTGATCAGTGAAATGGCTGTCACTAAGGTCTCTATAGCACTTGCGAATTCACCTACAACAATCAAATGAAATTTCTTTGCATAAAATATTAAATGGTTAAAGCAGATAAGGTACATTTAACTGAAGATCCTTAACTCACATCATTTTGGTAAGAATGAATGCCCAGAGTGCACTGAAGAGTTATAGACAAAGATGACATATATGGATAAAGTACATATTTTTAACTGTTGTCCATTAAACTTTCTAGGTCCTGGAAACACTTTAATAAGAACATTGTCTTTTTACTGAAATTTTACAACATGGATTGGAAAGATATTTTTCCAATTTTCATGTCGTATGTTTCTGGAACATAAAGCAGTTGTTTGCTCGGGAAAACAACCTGTATTTGACTGTAAAATTAGGCAAAAGACCCTCAATTAAATTTATAGTCAAGGTAAGTTTAAGTGTTGTGTACCTGCACTGGCATCCTGTACAGCCCGGGAGATGGCACTGCTGGAGACTGTTTTGTTCCTCTGGAATATCTCCTCAAACTCCTGCTCACTGAGGGCAGGCGACACAGACTCAACCCTGCTGTTGGAATACATACTATAACAAACGGGGAATAAGCTTGTTAAAGCATGCACTAATTATAAACTCTGATAAAAAGTTCAACCATTAACTTTGCATTGGTGCTGATTTGAAATCCTTTATTCATTTCAATTCTATTCATATTCAAAAGAACAAAATTTAATAGAAAACAAATTAAAGAAAGCAAGCATCAAATTCATGCATCTCACCTTGTACCCAAGACTTCCTCACATGATGTTCACAACTTGGATAATCAGTAGTTAAAATATTTTTGTTGAATAAAAATGTCAAAGTTTATCATTATATGGTGTTGTGCATGTGTGTATGTGTGTGTATATATTTATATGTATAATAAAAAAGGATTAAATATATATATATATGTATAATAAAAAGGGATTAAATGTCCATGTGAAGGAAGTAAATATAGAAAACATAAAATTAACGACCGACTAAAAAACTAGCTGCTTTCACCCTTCACAGGGCTATTCTGGTTTATTAAAAAAAACATAAATAAAAATTCTTTTGAATAAACCTGAAGAGCCCTGTGAAGGGTGAAAGCAGCTTGTTTTTTAGTCGGTCGTTATTTTTTTTTTAATATATGTATGTATATATATATTTGAGGAATGTGTGTACGCACCTTTCTGGAGGGGCTCTGTTGTAGTGATCCCCTGGATAGGAGGACACTGGGGCTCCGGGGGGTGGCCTGTTATATGGATCTGGGGCAGAGTTTACTGGCTGTAACAAACATAAATAAAAGTCAAAATCCTCTGATCCTTCATCTATCGGGTAATGAATCCATGTCTCATTGACAGTCATGATTGTTGTAGGATACAAGAATGTCATAATGACTGGAGCTTGCTAGTAAGGAAATTTACTGAGTTATTAATACATCTGGATCTTCACAGTGAAGAAACAAAGAGTGGAGAAAACCTATTTTTTTCTATATTCCCCATCTCCCCAGGGTTTATCATCCTGGCAACAGCTTTTGTCATATGAAGACGGTAAAAATTCTCAGATGAAATGAAGCTTCATGGAGAAAATAATAATTTTCATGGTGAAAAACAATAATTTTCAAAGTAATGTAGTGAATCAAGTTTAAAACAATATATTAAACTACCTTATAGATTGCCCATGTGCACTTACCAATGGTCCTGCTGGTGGAGGTCCGTGCTGAGGGGGGAAGAATGCTGGATTCACATGAGGGGCAGGAGCAGGTGGGTGTCCTGGGGGATGTCCTGGGGGTGGCAGTGACATTGGGGGCTGGCCACCTGGTGGCATACCTGCAAACAATAACAATCAGAAAATCAAGTTTCATGTTCCATACTACCAGTGCAGTGATCATGTATAGATAATTATGTCTTATCCAAAAAGAGTATAAAAAATGCTCAATTTGTAAGTCATCCATCCAAGAAACTGATAATGTGAGATTTTTGTATGATTACATAACATAGGTCAGAATCCAATTAATACACGTAGTTTAGAGTCAGGAGTGGTAACCAATTCTCCGTCTCCACGTAAACCTGTTTTATTATGTTTGATATTTAACTTAAGATAACAAACCAAACTTGAGCATCAGTTTGAAAATTAAAGGCTTTCCTCACAACTTCCTTATTAAATAAGTCTGACATTGATATAAATATATATATTTAGATTAAATTGAATCCAAAAACAATGTGTTTTATCACAAGAAAATCTCCCTTCAGCCTCCTGTTTTGTCCTTACCGGGCCCCATATTGGGTCCACCGGGATGGGGGTGTCTGGCTCCAGGGGGTGGAACAGGCTGTGGGGGAGGGGGTCCAAGGGCAGGGTTGTATGGAACTGGAATAGTAATGAAACAGATTTAGATAAAGTTAAATAGATAATCACAATGATCAGGTGTGTGAAGTAACACAACACAGGCACATTCGGACTGACCAGATTGACATAGATTTGATAATGTTGTGATAATGGTGTCACAGAAGAAACCAAATATTTTACTTCATGATATTGCCTGAAACGTAAACCAAAGATCAAATTTGAAACAGAAAAACATTATCACTGGTGCTGTCTCTGGAGTTCCCATTTCCATTTAAAAAATAATCATGTGTGCTGCTCATCAAGCCTTGTGATATAAGATGAACACTTGAGTATCCGCTGTACTCGTATGTGTGAAACCATCGTATTATATTAACACCGTTAGTTTGAACTTTCAATAATAACAAAGTCGACTTTCAGCACCACAATCAATCATTGACAACATTTGTATAAACTACAGCTTAACTCAAGTGAATAACGAGCATCAGGAATGATTTGGACATGTGCCTTTCTATACTAATATTCATAAAGAGTCGAATTCTGATTTCACTAAACGTGTAAGTCTTACATGTATGTATAGACAATTGTTTGGGTGATCATTTTTTATTGCAATAAAAGCTAAATAAGGACTTATATAAAGAGATATACCATGCCAAATATAAGTATTCTACAGTGCCGATGCTGTAAAAACTGTCCCAGGAAAGCATGCTTCACCCAAATATCAGCTGTCTATCTGTCAATAACCAACTGTAGATCTAGTCACATCATGTAGAAAGGTACATTCAGGATCTGTTTAACCTTGTTATAACCCGACTGTAACCACCTACACAATGCATGATAGAGCCAGATCCTGGTACAGCAGCAGTTACTATCACATAGAGACATGATCCTTCGTGCCCCATGCTAGCTGTAGCCCTCTCTACACCTCCACCACCTCAGCATCTTATATATAAACTTTATTTATATTACAACAATTATGAAACAAGTTATTTTAACTTATCAAAAATATTCATCACTCTTGTTGGCCTCAGCATCTTAGTCTTTTTAAACTAAATCATCTGATCAACCTTTACTTATTGTTTGAAAGTAAAAATCTGACTTGTTTAACAAAAACATTGCAACTCTTCGCATTGGTTACCCGACAATTTTTTATTAAAAAGAATTTAGTGGCAAAGTTGATTACTGTTGACTAACAGAGTTTCTTGTAAATCCTCATTTGACATATTATACATTTATACTTATCCCATAACTCATGTAGTAACATGGGATATTTTTTGTCATTGACAATTTTATTGTGAAATAACATCACTTTGCATGATGTCACAATATTTCTGGAGTCACTCTTGCATTCTGACATCATACAAATGTACATGTAGCAGGGCTCACATTAAGGACAAATTCTGTGTCGTCAGTCAATTGGTTTTGCAATGAAAATTGTATGTCGCCAATTTTTGTTGCGCTCATATCTTTTAGTGTATACAATTTCAAATTTCCTCTCATAGGAAAAGTCACAGGAAGTGTTTGATATAGAGAAAAAAGCTTATTTTCCTTCAAAATATTGGGAGAAACAATATATCTTAACAAGTGAGAATTAACCCATGAATTATTCCCAATTACAATCTGCCTGATTATCCTTATGACACAAACAAGTCAATTTACTTTAAAACATCAGACTATTTAGTAAAATATGTTGAAAGCACAATACTCAATTCTTGCCAATATCAAAATTTGATTCCCAAAGTTTTAAGTGGATTATGATATCTATCAAAATGTTGATATAAATGTATTCAAAAATAAAGTAACTCCTAAAAGTAATTTTAATTTGCACCTTTTAAATTTAAGTCTAAGCATCCCATCCTTGTAATATGTATAGGTGTACAAATTGGCTAAATACTTGATACATGTACATATAGAGAAGTTGACCATTTTGACCGAAATACAAAGCAACAAAAATATATTGCAATACATGTACATGTACATGTCATTACTAATATTAATACATCCAGTATCCCTGCAGTTATGAATTGATAAAGTTGATAAATCTTAAAGGGGCTGGTCGGGAAAAAATTGTCATATTTGCTAAAATGGCATACACATGTTTAAAATACCTTCTTATGAAATATACCGATTCAAATTTTGCTGAAATTCACTCCCTAAGAGTAAAAATTATATGTATAGTATTGCTGTCTTGTCCGCTAGTTGAGTCTGACATGGCACATGACGGCGTGCTATTGTTGTTATATTCACTGCCTCACTTTCGAAACAACCATGTGACATATATAAATAGATCTGCGCTAAATTTACGCGGGGCTTCCCCGAGATTTCAGTGGTCAAAACTGGACATTGCAAGCAGAACTCGCCCATCATATTGCCGTGGTATAACTTTTAGAAGGCCATAGAACGCATTTCGACACATTTATTTTGTAATTTTTTTCCCCGACCAGCCACTTTAAACATACTTAATTATTCTTCTATAACTAATATAATTGTTCACATTTGAACAGCTTTGAAGTAGCCTATTAACAGAACAGCCAACATCAAAACAGAATTTAACATTGTTGATACATGACCTCTCCACAAAAACATTCAGAATTTCCAACCAACCATAACACATTACATCATTTAATTTCTTAACCAATACAAAAAAACTCATGTACATTAATATTTTACCTTAAATAAACCTTTTTACACCTTTTCCAACAACAAATGCCATTTTTTTTTACTAAATCAAAAGTTTTTTGTCCTAGTTCACAAGACTTTTTGAAAGTTTAGAATTTGGCAAAATTTGGCGTTGTTGTATATTGGGTTATACACAATGTGCTATTTTTTTCTGTTTTATTTTAATTTTTATTGTTTTCAATAAATTAACATTCTCACAACGGTTAGTTGGCCTATTCTGCTTCATAACTTCCATCTAACCTTAGTCCTGATCTCTACCTGACTTTTTGACAACAGTGAACTACTGGTTCATACCGAGCATTCTCAGAGCTCTTTATTGACCTGCTTAATGTCAACAATACATTAAGTGTTGGGACCAAGTGTTGGGACCAAGATCAAGACTGAAGAAGAAAGAAATAAACAAGGTGTAGCCGGGCTGTATAACAGCAAACCATGTGTAGCTGTGGAGAGGTCAGTGGTCAGATTATTAGCAGACTTACTTCCCGGAGGTGGAGGTTGTCCAGGACGGTTCATTACAGCTATAAATCAAACAACATTATGGAAATCAACGCTTAGATATGATAATATGTATACCTTTGCATAAGCAGTATGGAATCAGTAATAAAACAATGTAAAATAAATCTCTAATGTGGATTTACCTATCTTACTACTTTATCATACTAAAGATGACAATGAATCTGTGCTACAGTATATTTACTTTTATCTAACATTCTAGAGCTGTCCCGATGAATCAGATTCTTTTAGGACAAGATGTCGATACCACTTTAAACATGTCAATTAACAACAGATTTTTTGCAGACAGGATATTTCTCAACAGCTTCAAAGTGTCAAGTTACCACAGAATTACTGTCACAGAGGATGTTGTTGAATACATAACACAGAATTACTGTCACAGAGGATTTTGTTGTATACATAACACAGAATTACCGTCACAGAGGATGTTGTTGTATACATAACACAGAATTACTGTCACAGAGGATGTTATTTTATACATAACACAGAATTACTGTCACAGAGGATGTTGTTGAATACATAACACAGAATTACCGTCACAGAGGATGTTGTTGAATACATGACACAGAATTACTGTCACAGAGGACGTTGTTGTATACATAACACAGAATTACTGTCACACAGGATGTTGTTGTATACATAACACAGAATTACCGTCACAGAGGATGTTGTTGAATACATAACACAGAATTACTGTAACAGAGGATGTTGTTGTATACATAACACAGAGTTACTGTCACAGAGGATGTTGTTGTATACATCACACAGAATTACTGTCACAGAGGATGTTGTTGAATCCATAACACAGAATTACTGTCACAGAGGATGTCGTTAAATACATAACACAGAATTACTGTCACATAGGATGTTGTTGTATACATAACACAGAATTACTCTCACAGAGGATGTTGTTGTATACATAACACAAAATTACTGTCACAGAGGATGTTGTTGTATACAAAACACAGAATTACTGTCACAGAGGATGTTGTTAAATACATAACCCAGAATTACTGTCACAGAGGATGTTGTTGTATACATACCACAGAATTACTGTCACAGAGGATGTTGTTGAATCCATAACACAGAATTACTGTCACAGAGGATGTCGTTAAATACATAACACAGAATTACTGTCACATAGGATGTTGTTGTATACATAACACAGAATTACCGTCACAGAGGATGTAGGATGTTGTTGTATACATAACACAGAATTACTCTCACAGAGGATGTTATTTTATACATAACACAGAATTACTGTCACAGAGGATTTTGTTGTATACATAACACAGAATTACCGTCACAGAGGATGTTGTTGAATACATAACACAGACTTACTGTCACAGAGGATGTTGTTGTATACATCACACAGAATTACTGTCACAGAGGATGTTGTTGTATACATCACACAGAATTACTGTCACAGAGGATGTTGTTAAATACATGACTGTTGTTGTATACATAACACAGAATTACTGTCACAGAGGTTGTTGTTGTATACATAACACAGAATTACTGTCACAGAGGACGTTGTTGTATACATAACACAGAATTACTGTCACACAGGATGTTGTTGTATACATAACACAGAATTACCGTCACAGAGGATGTAGGATGTTGTTGTATACATAACACAGAATTACCGTCACAGAGGATGTTGTTGTATACATAGCACAGAATTACTGTCACAGAGGATGTTGTTGAATCCATAACACAGAATTACTGTCACAGAGGATGTCGTTAAATACATAACACAGAATTACTGTCACAGAGGATGTTGTTAAATACATGACATAAAGTCAACAACATTATTTACAAGTCGCCAGTTATACTTAATTTTATAAGAATTTCCAAAATATCTTTGCTTTGTGAAACACAAAGAACTTTAAACCAAAAACAATCAAAAAGGAGACTGGATTGTAATAAGCTTACACAAATCATAAAACAAATAGGCAATACATAACAAGTGACATGAAACAACTAACAAATTATGTTCCTTCTTTGATGAAACAGGAGTTTATGAAGGCGTGTATTTTACATAATACAAATAGTTGATGGAAAACATATTAAAATGACAGTATTTTAAGAAACTGATAATCCTCCACCTCCAGACAAACTTCAGCATCAAAAATGAAGAAAGGGCTACAACTCTGTACAAAGCAGGGAACAACAACCCATTTTAGTTTGTAACTCTCCATCATCAGAGAGGTACTGATATTCATTTAGACATTGTGGATGACAGTGAGATATGCCTCAAAGTGGCGCATGAAAAAAACAAAGGCGTAACTCTGTACCTAGTGGAGCAAGTCCTTATTTTAGTACATGTATTTGACATTCTGAAACCGGTACCAACACAAAGAATTTGGCTCATGTTGGTAAAAAGAAAATGATATGCTCCAAAGAAATGGACAGATGGACTTAACCGCAAACATATTTTATATAAAAAATGGCTTTGATCACAAGGTAAATACACACATTCGCTTTTATATTTTCTTTTTATGTTTTCAACAATTCAGTCACAAGATATGAAAATATCAAAATTCTAATACAACTTGTAATTTTTTAAGCCAACAAATCTTGTAACATAAAGTTGTTACACAAAAATGGTAAATGAAATTCAAAATTGACGTTAAAACATTTTACACTAAAGTCTATTATGATAAGGAACAATAGTTATATCTTAAACAATTTTGAGTTGCTCTTGTAGAGATTCTTCAAGAAGGATAACAAGAGGCCCATGGGCCTTAACGGTCACCTGAGTCTACAGTATTTTTTTTTTTGTTGAAATATGTACCAATTTGAGTAAAAAATAGTATAATGTTAACTTAACTTTGTCAGGACCATGAGCTGATCATTCCTAGACCAATTTTAAGTGAGATCGGCCTATTAGAATTTAGTAGCAAAATAGCGGCCATGGCAGCCAAATTGTATTTCTGATTGACCCGAAAAATA